AAATAATGGCCTCACTTAGAAGCCACTGTTCAGTCCTATAATATAACTACAAAAGGATGAAGCTTTTAAGAAACCCATCAACTATCAAAAGTTTTAAATAACCTATACATAAATAATAGCATTGCTTTAATGGAGTTGTGGGAAAATTTTTAAAGAAAATTTCTCCTCCTTTATTTCATCAACAAAGACATTTCTTTTTTAAAAAAAAATCAAACTCTACATTTGTTTTCATAGGAGAAACAAATATTCCTTAATGGAAACAAGAAGTGATGTTTATTTTTCAAGTTCTGCAAAAATGCTGGGATTTTCCCCCCAAGAGAATTAATCTGTTGTAGTTGATATAATTTACTAAAAATTTTATGGCAAAAATTCCCAATTGTAAAATATATTTACTTCAAGCTTTACATATTGGAAAAATAAAGCATTATGTTATCTTGTGATAAAAAAGGGCTTCCTCATGTAGATAATTTCCAGTTAGGTTTTTATGGGAAGTTCCCTCATTGTCCAGAGCAACTCTGCTTCCTTTTACACTTCTCTTGATATCAAGAGAAGGCTTTTATTACAGCCTCAGCTTTGAAATGAAATATAAGGTCACAAATTACGCTGATACAAGTGCCTACTGCAATTTGACCATATGTTGCTAAAACAGGTAATTGCTTGTTTTCCGTTTATTTCTTTTAAGATATAATTATCTACAAATATTTTTCAGGAGTGATTTAGTGGTTTGTGGAAATTACCCAACCTGATAACTCAAATCTCTTTCTTTTCTGATCCATTTGTATGTGTGGTATGGAGACATTATGATCCAAACATTTCTCTTACTTTCCAAGTAGTAATATATTGGTGTGAATGTATGTTTCTGTGTACATGAATATATGTGTATGTGAAAAACACACCTGATGTATCAGCTAGTTTGTGCTGAATAACACCACCCCAAAACTTAGTAGTGTAAAATAACAACCACTAATGTGGTTCAAGTTTCTGTTGGGTTGGCGAAGTGAACTTAAGCTGAGCTGGGCAGTTTCTCTGCTTTTCTTAGCTGGATTCATTCATGAATCTTTAATCTGCTGTCAGTTAGCTTAAGGGCTCTACTTTTAGTTGGAGTAATGGGGCACCTGGGCCAAGAGTCTTTATCATTCCATAGATTAGCCTAGGTTCATGTGGTGTTTGGAAACTTTAAGAGCAACAAAAGAAAAAGTTCAGTGCATAAATGGTTTTAAACTCCTTGCTTTGTACTGGCCCATTGGATAAAGTAAGTCACATGGGCCCGCCTAGAATCAATGTAAGAAAGTCCTTCAAAGGAAACAGACATGAACAAAATGAGAGTGGTAAATCCAACACTAATTTCAGTACCCTAAAAGAAGGTTACAACCAAGAAAAATCTCTACTTTAGAAGCCTTTCCCTCCTGAACCTGAAGGTATCAACTGGTAATATAGATTAGACAATTGACCTAGCAAAATCTGCCAGTGACAATGTTTTATAGCAAAGTCACTAAATGTAAGCATAAATATTATTAGTATTCTATAGTGAATAAATACTTGTGGTGGCATAAGACAAGATTAATCCAGAACACTTTAGGGGAAAAAAATGATCAGATTAATCTGCCAGATGTTAAATTATAAAGCTGGTAATAAGAAATTGATGACAATGTAGATATGTAGGTCAGTTGGATACAAGTACTAGAAACATGTTAAAAATATATGCCTTTATTTTTTGATTGAAATGTCATTTTAAAATAAGGAAAAAGTATAATCTATATTTATTGACACAACACATATTTGTTAAGTCATCATTATTTATTTATGAGCCAGTGCAGTGTTCCCTGGGCCTCTGACAGGGGGCTAGAATAGTTCTAGACACTGGGATAGAGCAGTGAACCTAGAGGTCAAAGTCTTTAATCTCTTAGAACTGATGTTTCAGTGAGAGGGGAGGTAAGATAAAGAACTAGCCCCAAACAAAAAAATTACATTCAGGTGGTGATGATAACCACCTTAAGTACAGGAAAAATGGTAATGGAAGTCTCTCTGAGGATTTAATATTTGAGAGGAAAAAAAAAACAGAAAAAAATAAAAATAAATCAGTTTTGACCAGAGCAGAGCTTTCTGGGCTGGGGGTGGGGGCAAGACTGTGAGGCAGAAAAAAGTGTCAGTCTATTCTAGGAAAAAAAAAAAGACAAATAGGACAAATAGGCAAGTGTAAAGTGAGTACCAGGGAAGCAGAGAATCAGAGAATCCATACAGTCAAATTGGAAGGAGCCAGGTCCTGCAGGGAATTGTAGACCACAGGAAGGAGTTCAGAGTTAGGCTCTCTTCAAGTGACATGGGACAACGACTAGAGAGGTTCTCAGAAAAGAAAATCAGAATGATGTTGTGATCCAAATATTGTTTACAAAAGATTATGCTGTCTGGGTGAAGAATTGCCTCTCATAGGACAGAGTTGGTGGGGAAGAGAGATCAATTAGGAAGCCATTCGTAGGCCAGATGTGGGGTGGCACCAGTGGAGGTACAACAGCAAGACTGGCTCATTTACTGGGCATGGAAAGAAGGAAAGGAAAGGATCAAGAGTTCTGGTTAAACATTTGGCCTGAGCAATCATGGGTCTTCCAATGACTGTGCTAAACTCAGGAGATAAAATAGAGAATGAGGTAGACAGAGTCCTTAACTTCATGGAGTTTATAATTTATAGTTATTTAATAAATGTAACTTGCCTAATAGACCAGTGAAAACTTCAATTTCATGGCTTTTAACATATAAAGTCCAGATGGGTTGAAAGGTTCAATTTAATGAATAAATAATCTCTCCAAACATTAGAAGGGAAATATATACACACACGCACGCGCGCACACATATATATATATATTTATATACATATTTATCTAGAGATGGAAAAGCTTTTTATAAAACTAAGGTATTGCTGATAAAGAAAAATAATATATTTGACTTTAAATTTTGAAACTTTTCTATGTCCAAAATACCATAATTAATCCCAGAAGCTCCAGAGACTGACGTGGGAGGATGGCGAGTTCAAAGCCAGCCTCAGAAAAAATGAGGTGCTAAGTAACTCAGTGAGACGCTGTCTCTAAATAAAAATACAAAAAAATATGGCTAGGATGTGGCTCAGTGGTGGAGTGCCCCTGAATTCAATCCCCAGTACCCTCCACTCACCACCCCTCCCCCAGAAAAAAACACAATTAAGACTAAGGTAATCAACATGGGAAATAAAGTCATAGCAAATACAATGAAGAGTTGATATACTTAATATATGAACACATCTTACAAATCAATATGAAAAAGATGAGCAAAGAATACAATAAATAAAAAAGCAAAAATGCAAGGTGTATCTAAATAAAGAGTTCAATCTTACAGATAATCAATAAGTTACATATTAAAATATAATATATATTTTTAACCTTTCAAATCAGTAACTGTTAAAAAAAAAAGTATTACAATTCATGTTAGTTGCCTTAGGAGTATAAAATTGACAAGGTTTTTGAGGAGAGAAAATTTTTTAAAATGTACATTCTCTTTCATCTGGCAAGTTTTAAAATACATGTAAAAGTCATAATCATGGTTGTATGTAGTTATATATAAACATTTGCTGGAATGTTGTTTAGAAGTACAACTTTTTCACAAAAAGGAACTGATTAAATAGTGGTATATGCATATGCTGTAATACAGTGCAGCTAGTTAAAATCATATTGTAGGAAAAAACTGCCTTGACATATGGTAAATTGCTCAGAATATCTTTTATGAGATAAAAGCAGGTTATAAAACAATGAACTGAATGTAGCAGTATTTTGGTAAATATCCACAGAGGAAATATGTAAAAATAAGGACATTCACCAAATTGCTTATATTACTTATATTTGAGAGGGAAATTGTAGGTGGTTTTTTTTCACATTTCTATTTTACAAATTTTCTACATTGCACAAGTGTAACTATATATTCTTCATACTTCAAAATAAAAAAATGGCCTATTTACTATAGCATTCAAAAACAAGAGGAGTCACTGAGCCTCTAACTAAAGGAAACCAGTTGGCAGACAATAATCAAAATAAAACCTTCAAAGATGCTTGTACATAAAAAGCAAAAAATAACGTCCCAGTTGCTGAGAATAAACAAATGATCCCCTCTGAGTATAGACAATACTGACAGAGCATGCATTTGAACATGCATTCCAGAACCTAGGAGCTGTAAACACTGCAGGTCCTGTTAGTCATCATCCAAAGGTCAGTCTATACCACCAACCACACACCAGGGAACGTGGGGCCAATGTGATGATCAAACTAATACAAGTTATAGCTGGTCACACCTGTCCTTAGGTAAGATTGCAAAAGCTTTCATTATGATCCAGTAAACCTATTTGCCCAAAGAATGATAAATCTCACAGTTCCTGGTCTTTGCACACCGCTGGCTAAACAGATAACTCTCCGACCTTTTGAACATATCCACTTAGTTGTTATTATTTATCTCCTCGGCTGTACTTTATTAAAATTGTTTTCAAACTTTGATGTCATCCAGATTCTTTTGTGGCGATATTTAATATATGGATGAGTGCACAACATACCCAAGACCTACTAAATCAGAGCCACAGGGGTGGAAGGCCTGCAGGTATGTGGGTTGGGAAAGCTGCAGAGGTGTGGCAAGCTGCTTGTGGGTGCAAAGGTGCTGGCTGGGAAACTGGGTGGCAAAAGACCAAGAGGAAGAAAAAATAAGAATTTCAAATTCAAGGAGAAAATTTTAAAAGGAAAGATGTGAATAATGGTGTTCAGTCCTGGTCAGCGTCATTACTCACAAGCCATTCAACTAGAGTCCAGCTGGACTCTCGAATGGAGATTAAAAGCTCCGTGGTTCAAGCGTCACCCAGAATATCAGCTCACTTAAGAAGTGTGTCAGGGAGCGAAGGAGTGTACCTATCAGCTGTTTCTAAGAAAGTAAACACTCCCAACATGCACCGAGGCGCTGGGAGTGGCTCAGGTTTCTCACACTTGCCTGCAGTGATAGAAAAGAGCAATAATTAATAGCTTCTCCGGGTTGCTAATTGCGTGGGGGCCACTGCAAGCGCGGAGCCCCGAGCCATGCTCAGGGAGCACGCGCGACGCCCACGCTGGTCTCAGACTTCCCCTGCAGGTGAGTGACTGGAGGAGCCCCAGGACAGACAGGCAGAGACAGGAGAGCCCTGTCTCCCGCAGCCAGCCTCCGACCCAGTCCAGGAACAAACTCTCCCGTGCAAGTTCAGCCCAAGGACTGCGGTGAAAAGGCTCCTCCCGCTCACAGTGTGAACAACAGGTGAAAATGGGGGTCGGGCAAAGAACCCCTCTAGTCCACTTTCTGGGGTGAGGTTGAGGGCCAATTATTAGAAAGCGGAATCCCATTGGCAGCACAGGTGAAAGAGTGCATCGGAGCAGCCTGAACCCGGACATGGCTTTTCCTTTTGATTTTTCTCAGAATACCCTTTCCTGACCAAGGTAAGCTTGTGGGAGGGTGGGGAAATAGAGAGAGTGGGGGAGAAGGGCTTGGAGGAAACCTTGCCATTTCCTCCTCCCTTCCTGGAGGGAGTAGTTCTATAAACCCTTTACCTGGAGCATACCCTTGCAAAGACACTAGGCTCCTGGAAGGCATCCCGCTTTCTCTGAGGACTTTAAGAACATGTGTTGAATCATAAGATCCAAAGGATCTTTTTAATTGAGGATGGAGTTGAACTTCTGTTTCCACAAAGCAACAGAGAAATAACCCCCAAATAATTGAAAAGGATTTGGGATATAATTTAATACCACACCAAACAATGAAAGAACGATTGTAATTAAATACAGGTCCATGAGTTAGGAATACAAATTCTGAAGTAGGTGCCCCTTACTAGTTTGCCCCTTTGCAAGTTACTTAACCTGTCTAAGCCACCAAAGTCTGTCCTTATAAAACAATCATCATAATAGGATCTTCCACATAGGGCTTGGGTGGGAATTAAACACTTAGCAGGTGTTCCAGAAATGACACCTTCTAATAGAATTAAGAAATAAGGTAGGGGAGGGGTATTGGAAGTAGGAAGGATAGTAGAATGCATCAGACATTATTACCCTGTGTACATATATACATATACAACTGGTAGGATTCTACATCATGCATAACCAGAAGAATGAGAAATTATACTCTATTATATATGATGCATCAAGTGCATTCTACTGTCATGTATAGCTAATTCAAATGAATAAAAAAATAAATTTAAAAAATAGCTCAGCCAAAAAGGCACATCAGGGAAGGTGAGCTGAGCTGAGCTGGCAGACCAGTCAAGTGTGGTGACACTGGAACTGAACTGGTTTCCAGACAGTGGGTCCAAGACACTGAGCAGGTGGCAAGTGGGCAAGTATCATCTCTCTGAGTAGAAATGAAATTACCAGCTTTCTTGCCACTTTTCAAAAAAAATAGACTATGTACAGGCAAATTTAAGCTTACCTGCCACTCACTTTGATCTTAGAAAATTCATATTTATGTAAATCTATTATTTTAAAATAGAAAACAAGCTTTTATAGCGAATAGTTACTATCTCATGTTGTGGAGCCCATGGCATTTCAAGTTTCACAAGATAGTCTGTGTTTGAATAACATTGATCAAAATAGACAATATGGTCCAAGTCCTAATATTATAGCACAGATTGATTTTTTTTTTGCATTGAAATGATATAGACTTTCATATGTTTAAGCTTGAAATAAGGGTACTTGTGTTTTGTCAGTCCTTACCTCTTAAGCTTAAATTACACAGAAGTGGCTTTATTTGATGATGTTTTAGTTAAAGGGAAATTTTGTGGATGATGTTGTTAGTTTTATTAGTATTTATAACTTCGAGGGGGACAAATTTAGTAGCTCTGACTAGTAGTCTCCATTGATGTCATTTTATCTTTTTATTTTATTAACATAAAATATTTAAGTGGTTTGCAGTTGATCCTAACTTAATACCATCATTGTTTTAATGGATTCTTTTTTTCAAATTGTAGAGTTGAGGTACTCCAATGTACTTATAATTAGGTATTGACTGAAGGATTCTAGGTAGAATTCTAAAGCCAAACCACATGAACTTTATTATGTTATTCTCCTCCAGGCTTAACTAGTAGTTATTGCAGTTTATCTAAACACTTATAAAATAATCAAATCAGAGTAGAATGAATTAGAACGCATATTTATTAAATACTTTTCAAAGAGAAAATATGCTTTTATGCTGAATATATATTGTTAAATTCCTTAAATTAAATTATTTGATTATAAATAATTATATATGTGTGTATATAGAAAGAGTTTTTCTACTATTATATTTCTACTATATAACACTCTATGATAAACCATTATTTATTTATTTATTTTTGGTACTGAAGATTGAAGTCAGAGGCACATTAACACTGAGCTATATCTCCTGTCCTTTTTATTTATTTTTTTGACACAGAGTCTCACTAAGTTGTTGAGAGTCTCACTAAGTTGCTGAGACTGGCCTTGAACTTGCAATCCTTTGCTTCAGCCTCCTGAGTCTCTGGGATTCAGGTGTACACCACCACACCTGGCACTGTTAAATATTTTGATCAATCCAAGAGAGAGGGAAAGAGCTCAACATAGTGTAACATACATGTAATGTCTTAAGGGCTAGGGTTGTAGCTCAGTGGTAAAGAGCTTGCCTAGCATGTGTGAGACACTGGGCTCAATTCTCAGCACTACATTTAAATAAATAAATAAAATAAAGGTACAACAACCAACTAACTAACTATATATATAATAAAGGTCCATAAACAACTATATATATATATATATATACACACACACACACACATATATATATATATAATTTAAAATGTTATACCTTATGTACATTTTAATTTCTGAAATAAGAAGCATCCTATTCTTTTAATTGAAATAGAAACCTAATACTAACAGTCCATTTACTTGTACAGATTTGCTGATTACAATGTAAATAGGGAATTCAGAGTTGCTAGAGACACATGGACTTTCTGTAAGTTTGGATTTAAAAAAATTTTTTTCAAATACAGGCAAATTGAAAACACAGCCTCTGAGAAAGAGCTTCTCAATATTCTCTTTGCTCTGAAGTTTAGAGTTAAAAAACTAACTATTCTGTTGCAAAAATTTATCTCAATATTTCAAAACTATCACTGATTGTGATCTCTTCACTTTCATAATACAGTCTTAAATATCAAACCAACTGCTGTCACTGCTTTCAGTCCCTGAACATGGAGCTGTCTCCTCTTTATGCAAGAGGATGTAATCTTAGTAGTTTAAATGGTTGTAGGAAAATTTCTGCATCATCACCCAGAGTTAGTAAGTGGAGCTCAAAAAGCAAGAGTGCTGATTCTTTCATAGCCAATACTGAACAAGAAAAATGAGTCAGGATCTTTGTGAAATCAACTTTTAAGATTTCTTCTTGAAAACTCAGATGAAGGAGAAGATCTTTGAGCTCCATCACAATCACAATTTCAGAAGATACCCTTGGCAAGTGGAGTGGTAGCAAGTTCCTAAGTGGCTTCATGCTACTTCACTTCATCCTCCACTCCTGCTTTCCTCACCTCCCTGAGGACACTGCAGGCAGAATAAAGTCACTACATTACACCATGTAAATATGCAATGGAATATTAGTGCTTTGACACTTCAAATGAGATTCCACTTGAACTGACCGCCGTGGCATGGTCACCTAGAAGTCTGGTTACTTGACCCATATACTGTTTAGTCCTGTCTTCAATTTAAGAATTGAAATCAATTTTTATTTGTATCTCAAGACAATTTCTAACTGCAAATAATATCACTTAATAAAGTGATAGTTTTTATATTTCTCCTCCCAACCTTTACCATCTTTGCAAATGAGGCACATTCTTCAGGGGGGAAAAATGGAGCCAAATGTTTTCCAGAAACCATACTTCTTTGAACTTTTTTCCTTTCTTTTCAAGCTGGATAATGGATGGAATTATAGAAAGCTGATAACTTTGTCTCATTTCCCCTGAGTGATGTATCTGTGCATGGCTCTGTTCTTCCCTACTCCCAGGTTCCAGATCATAGCCTTAAGAAAACAGTTTTATTTTAGGGCTGAAAACATCCTTGTAACTTTCCATTGCCTCTTCAGGATGGAACATTTTTTTAAAACTCCATGTTTACAACCATTGATATAATCTTAACTCCTAATTAAAATATACACTTGTTATTCCAATGGGATACTTTTTGGTATTTTGTCTTTTTAGTTACTTTTATGGGGGCATATATGTGATATAATATATATTCCTTGTATAGAATTTGGAAAGTGCATATGAATTCAAAATGAAAATAAACTTTCATATCTTTATAACTCTTAATATCATTGTTAATATTTAAATGTTTCCCTGAATGTTGAATGTATTCAATACTGTATAAATGTTATATATATGTGTGTGTGTGTATATTCACTCACTCTTGAAGAAACATGAATAATAATGATCCTTTCTTAAAGGATCTAGTCAACAAATTAAGTAAAATAATACATGATTAGAGGAAGAAAGCAATAAGCAATTAGAAAACTGCAGCTAGTTTGCTGTGGAAGTTCAAATGCAAGAGAAATTAGCAACTGTTTTGTTTTGGGGTTTGGGGAGGTTGTTTTTGGTTTTCACTTGGTTGGTTTGTTTTGTTTTGTAATTCTTTGTAAAATCCTGACCACTGTGACACTTCACATATTCAAGTGATCTGAGGAACAAGGGGCTGTGAATACAGATACAGACACAGGCTTCACTTCCTGTGTCTGGTAGCAGGTACAGAGAAGGAACTCAAGAAATATTTGTTGAATATACAAACAAGCAAATCAAATTATTTCCACTTTTAAATAAGTAACCATTTAGTTAACCCATGGTTGGGCACAGGAAGTTATTTTAAGTTACTGGCCCATTTGTGTTCCCTGGGGCCTGAGCTTTCCTCCCCCATCCTCTGGCTGCATTCTGATCACAAGAAAACTGAATCCAGGTAAGCCCACATCTAGGTAGGAGTGCAGAGCAGGGCAAGGTGAGCAGCAAATGCTACATTTTTTTTTTTCTGTAGGTCTCAGCATTGCCCCTTGCTGAGGGCTGTCTGTTGTGGGCTTCTGTTTCTACAGATCCGATCTGCCTGCTTAGAACAATGGCACCTCCCTGGGCCTCTCCCATTCACACTCAGCTTAGACCTGCCTGGTACTTCCAGTGCTGTTTATTTCTCCAGGACTTAATTCCTGGCATGTCAAATTCCCTGTTTCTTGAGTTTATGTGGACAAAATGGAAAAGCAAATGAACAAACTTATTAATTAATAATCTTATTTTGGGGCTGGGGATGTGGCTCAAGCGGTAGCGCGCTCGCCTAGCATGCGTGCGGCCCGGGTTCGATCCCCAGCAGCACCACATACCAACAATGATGTTGTGTCCGCCGAGAATTAAGAAAAAATAAATAAATGTTAAAAAATTCTCTCTCTCTCTCTGTGCCCCCCTCTCTCTCACTCTCTCTTTAAAAAAAAAAAATAAAAAAAATAATCTTATTTTATATATAATCTAAGTCAATAAACTCTGGCCCCAGGGCCTGATAGTAACTATATGATTCATCCTCCAAGCAAACCACATAGCAACTACTTTCCTCTTCAAGTCAAAGAACTGAACATCCAAAGACAGACTTCAAAACTTGTAGACCTCCAACTTTTCCTTTCTTCATAAGTCATTTTTGTCTTTGCTATTTATAACCTCTTTGTTATCTTTTAAGCCTTTAAGAAAGCTAAATTAGACCCTAAGACTACTAAGTCTTCACAATTTAGATTTCATTAGGGACTCTACCAGGTTTCAATTTTCTGTGAATTTTCTGGAATGGGGAAATACAGAGGGAAAACCATTTGAATTCATAGATCTATGCTTCACTTTAGCAAATAATAATATCAATGATACTTTTACCAAATCACTTTCTTGCCTTTTAGGTATTTGAATTGTTTGACTATTTTAAGCCAATTTTTGAATCAGACATGATAAATATTATTTCCTATCCAATTGTCATAAGCTATCTATGAAAAAAAATATGTTGTTTTCCTTTTCTATTAAATTCCATTCAACTGTCTTCCTTCCTAATGTCAGAGAATAATGTAAAGACCTTTGAAATTTTTTTGTCAAGGCTTCTGTAATTTTTCTGAAGCTGGCCATGGTTTACTTTAGCATAGATCACAAGTCTGACAATATAATTACATAACAACTGTTTGCTCTCTTTAGTGATTCTTTGGTTTTTATGACTGCAAGGAGAGGGAACTGATTGGGAAATTACTATAATGATTCTTTAGTCCATCACTGCCAATCTTTACTTTGTGATGATAAGAAACTTCCATTGATGATTCTTCAATTCAAAATATCCCCAGTGTTTGGTGAGGGCTTGTTCTCTGGTTCTGAAGTAGTTTCTTCTAACTATGTCCTCACATGGTGGAAGGGCAAGGCAGCTTCCCAAGTTCTCTTTTATAAAAAGGACACTAATCCTACTCATCATGGCTCAGTCCTCATGACCTAGTCACCTCCTAAATTTTCTACCTCTCAATGCATGAGGGCTAAGATCTCAACATATGACTTTTGGGAGACACAGACATTGAGACCATGACACAGAGGAGTCAGTTAGGAGGAGGCTGGTACAGTAATCCAGGAGAAAGAGGATGGTGGCTTGGCTTAGTGTGATGGCAGTAGAAATTAAAGCTTTTGAATTCAGGTTATATATTGAAAGTATAATTAATAGGACTTACATTTAGGTTAGATTCTTCTATGGCAAAGGAAGGGGAAAAAAATCAAGACTGAATCTTAGTTTTGGTGCCCAATTGGGTAGATGAAAAGAATTGTGGAGGAGGGAATTCTGGAGTATGGGAGAAGTATGAGAGTGGTTCTGTTTCAGCCATGCTGCTCTTGAGATGCCCATTAGACATCTAAATAGAAATTAAGTGGAGGTAAGTGAGTCTGGAACTCAGCAAAGAGGCTGGGCTGCAGATGGATTAGCTTCCCTGGAAGAAAGTGTAGAAGAGAGGACAGAATGTATCTGAAACCAGGCAGCATGTAGCGACTGTATAGAGAAGTGAGCAGAGGAGTCTAACATGTTGAGCCCTGTGAGAAATCAGAAAATAGAGCAGCAGGGTCATTATTGCCATTTTGTCTCAAAAGCCTCTAGAGGAAAGTGTTTCAGAGGGAGAGAAAAAATCAATCTCATCAAGTGCTTCGGTGAGTCAAAGAAAATGAACAATTTGGCAAAACCTAGGCTATTGAAATGTGGGAGGAGAAATGCAGGGAAGATAAAGGAATAGATGGTGAATAGCCTAGATTGAGAAGGGAAAGGTAGTGTTTGGGATATGGGGTCATTACTGGGGGGATCTAGCTATGGGGCATCTATAACCCTTTTTGTGGGTTATTATAATGACAAATTCTAGGAACAAGGTTAGAGCAAGGACTGCATGACCAGACATCCCAGACCACATCCTGTCAATGAATGAGATTTGTTGGGCTCATGGACTCTGCTGTCCCAGGGCAGTCCAACCTGCCCTTATGGATTCCAAACTGCAGAGTTGCTTTGGCTAAACTTCTGACCAAGTCCTTAGTGAGACAGACCCCTGCCAGTGATGTGCTGCCAAAGAGGATGACATTCCCAAACAGGGGAGCACCACTCTTTGAGCAACAGGACAGCAATAAAGAATGAAGTTAAGCACAAATCAGTAATGATGATAATGGGAAGCCAAAAGTAGAATCACAACAATGCAGATAAAAAGGCTCTGGGGAGACTCACAGAGGTTCCACCTGAGTGAGGACCGAAAGGAAGCAGAGGCTGGGTTTTCAGGGATTAGGACCTTCCAGTGCAAGAGGAATCCATGAGAGGAGACTCAGTGGTGCGAAATCTCATTTGAATATGAGGCCTGGCATTGAAGGATGCTTCAATTTTGAGTTTAGAAAGGAGGGTTTGGGTAGAATAACAGAAAGTTCAAATGTCAGATTGAATGAATTAGGCTGAATTTACTAAGAATGAGATGCCAGGGAGGTTTGGGCCCAAAAAGGTGACATGAAGAGCAGGGGACTCCAGTCAAGTATTCAGCTCAGAGGCCTGGGGAGAGGAACAAAATGCTATAAGGAAAAAGAGACCTCAGGGGTTAAATGAGAATAGCAGAATTGATGCTCTTTTCTCTTCCTTCCTGGTATCCACTCATCTTACCAAACCAAAATAACCTGATTTGAAAGTAAAAGAAGGATATTCCCTGTACACGCACCTTCTTTTTCTGGACTTTCCTCTCCATCCCACCTTTTTATTCTAGCTATGTTTCCTATGATTCTGTAAGCTTGGAGCAAGGATAATTCAAAGTTAAATTTCTGCAAAAACTAGAACTAGAAAATATTTTGCTTAAAATTTCTGACCACACCCTAATGCCATTTACATGAACTCATAAAGAAGGAGATTATTCACATCTGACCACGGTTTCCAGAGCCTGAAGGAGACATGAGGATATTATATCATCTTTAATCAACCCTTCGAGTCAGAACTTGATTTTAGTTGCCTGGAAACTTGAAATTGTGTTGGGCTGACTAGGGCAGGGTACAGCTAGTTTGGGCTAAGTTGCTGTAATTGAGGGAAAATGCTCCTAGAGATTCATACCCAAGAGGACTCTTTTGAAAAATACATCAAAAACCAAATTGCCCAATCCTTCCCTTCCTTGAGCAACTGCATCTGTAGTTTTTCAATTTACACAACACGTTTTTCTCCTTTTTGCTCATGCATGAAATATCACCTGAAAGCTCCCCTCAATAGTCTTATAAGCTAGAGACACAATCAAACATTCAATTTAAGTAAGAAACTAATTTATGAATGCATCACAAGAACAAATCATTAACATTATTCTTATGGTTAGGGTATCCTCATACCGTCTCAAAAGGGGGTGAAGATGACTATGATGGCCCACCAGTACCCTTCCTGGATCTTCATCAATGAGAGGACGTTCATAACCAGGTAACTATATACCTATATTATATGTCATCCTGCTCGCCGGTTACCTGCTCAGTGAATGGGGTTAACATTTTTTGTTATTATGAAGACTACAAGGGGAAAAGTTTTGGGATAGAAGTAATATGGAATATACCATTCAGAGTTGTATAAGCTTGATAAATGATTAACAAGATGAACAGAGTCATCACCTGAGATTCTGGATAAGAAGTTGAAAAAGTATATTCCTAAGACTACTAAACCATACTCTCTTGTGGACAAATCCTTCATAGTACATTAATGGTGGTTTTGGTTCCATAAAAGTTACATTTCTGCTTTAATAGTTGCAACGATCTTAAGAGGAGGATTAAGTGAAGGCTCCAAAGCTCCTCATAAAAGATACATCCAAAGAATTAGCTCTGTGGCCAATAACATTGTGTTCTCTCCTGGCCTCTCCCTTCCTTGCTCCTCAGGACACACTGCTTTTTTCCTGGTTCCTACTGGTGTGCTGGTTATTTAATATACAGGTAACATGCACAACTGTTTTCTGATGCATGGTTATAGCATCTTATGTTGCTCTGGAAATAATAGAGGAAGGGTTTTAAAACTTTAAGAGCAAAGATGAGTACTAAACCTGGCCAAGCACAGGTAAAGACTTAGAAAAGAAAAAAAACAGTCAAAAAAAGAAAAAGAAAAGAAATAAAGAAACAACCATGACCAAGTCAAACAAGGGGTGGGAAAGGAAATAAGGCCAGTGGAACAGGGAAGTGGGTGCTACTGACACAGGATTGGGTGCTAGGAAAGCAGAGGGAACAAGGAACTAAAATGGTCAAAGATTTAAAGAGCTAGAGGACAAGGGTGAAATGTGAGGGTAAGAAGAAGACACAAAGTGAAAGAGAGGATGCCTTTATTCATTCTTCAAATACTTACCAATACTTACCGAATGCTCACTGTGGAGAGATACTTTTCTGAATCTGAACATTCAGCAACGAACCCACAAAACCCTACTTTTAGGGGTTATATCCTATGCCCAGGAACAAGGGAATATAGTTCATATGAAAGATAAATGCTGAAAAATGTGAGAAATAAAAATGAAATAGTAAAGGGAGTAAAGAATATTGGATGCAGCCCATGGGAAAGGCTCTGTGCTCAGGCCTGAGAGAGGAGAGAGCATAGGAACAAAACTGAAGGTATGTGGCTGGAAGAATTCCAGGCAAAGGGGAGAGCAAGTCCATAGCCCAGAGGCAGGTGCATATCAGTGAGTGTTGAGGAGGCCAGTACAGGGAAACTGAAAGAGAAAGACCTTAAGGGAAAGTGAAGAAGGTTTGGGATAGAAGTAGACAGAGACAAAATGGGGCCAGAACATTGGCGTTTCATAGACCATTATTTCATAGGCTATTGACCTTTCTTACAAAATAAGATGAGAAGCTGAGGAAGAATATGAACACATGAGTGACAATACTAGTGTGGCTGATGTGTTAGGAACACATTGGAGAAGGAGCAAAGGTGGAAGCAGAGAATTACCATGGAGCTGATAGTCCAGGATAGAGATGATGGTAGCTTGGACCAAGATGGCAGCAGTGGAAGCTGAAAAATTATATATATGGTCAGATTCTAGTCATCCCTTAATAACTATGAGTTCCACATCTGGGAATTCTACTAACCTCAACTTAGAAATATTAGGGGAAAAAATGTGTCTGTATTGATGATGTGCAGAGATTTTTCTTGTCATTATTTCCTAAGTAATATAACATACCAACTATTTATATAGCACATTTATACTGTATTGGGTATTCTAAATAATTTAGAGATGATCTCAAGTCTACAGAGGTTGGTGGAGGTGATATGCAAATTCTACATCAGTTTATGTCAGAGTCTTGGGCATCTGAATATTTTGTTATCTGCTGGGGGTCCTAGAACCAATGCCTTGCTCAGACAGAGGGACAGACTATATTTTAAAGGAAAGAACATTAGGATTTCCTGAAAGACTAGATGTGAGAAATGAGAGAAAAAGAATAGTCAAGTACGATTGTAATGATTTTGGTCTAAACGAATGGGGTAACACTTTCTGATATTATGAAGACACAAGAAAGAGCAATTCTGGGGTAAAAGACCAAGAATTCCTGGACAGGCTACATTTGAGATTGAGTACACTCACCAAGGGGGATGAGTGTGAATATGAAGATTCAAGGCCCAATGTTAGAAAAAGCTGAAATGAAATTGGAAAAGAAAAAACAGAAGGCGAGACAGAAGAGCCTCTGGTGAAAAGTGGACAGAATGAATGTGGAGACTGGACAGAGAGGAAGAGCAAGTGTAGAGGGTAAAATAGAGAAGACACCACTTTGAGTCATCAAGGAAACCCAAGTATTGATGGAGATTCACAAAAAGGGAAGTTGAGGAGATGGGCAGTTGAAAGGCAGAAGGTCAGTGAAGGTCACAGTTGCATAAAACAAAAGGAGGGGGACAGAAAGGTGCTGGAAAAGACTGAGAGATAGTCCCCTTCCCTCATTGCCTCCTTCCAAAGAGAATTACAGAAGGAAGAGAAGTGCCTCTAAAGATACCGTCTGCACTTGTGTTCCTGGTTGTCTACAGATTTTCTGTGCAATTAAAACAAATTTACTCCACTGACGGAGAGGGAAGTTTGGAGAAGAAACAATATGTAGCCTTAGAAGCAAATGAACAACCTGTGTAGTTATTTTCCTGTTACGCAGCTCTGCTTGACTCAATTCAGCTCACAAAAGTATGATCCCCACCCTGTCCTGCCAGGACACTGCTACACCAAGGCCATCCCTCTTGGTCTGAAGTTATCATCTTTTTCCCTCAGTCTGCCTCAGCTGTGATATAGTAGCTCTCTACCTTCTATCCCAAGGAAGCAAAGACTTCTCTCAGTTCCATAGACCTTTCTTATTGAAATTGGAACCTACTCTAAACTGGCACCAGGCAGCCCCAATAGCAGTCCCTGTTCCCTGGCTGCACTCATTGGCATTTCCATGAGCAAAGACCTGTCTTCCCTGACAAAATTCCAAAACAAATGTGGCAGAGAAGCCCCTATGCCCTTCCTGACTCTTGTCTGTACCTGGGGGGTCCTGATTCTCTTAATCCAGGCCATTTTTATGTGTATGTTTATCTTTATTCTCTAGATTCCTGGAGTTCCTTCATCTTCAGCTTTTCTAGAACAACTTCATCTTTCTCCTGTATAGAGCTACTGGTTCTATTCTCAATGGATTTATATAAAATTTCATTTGCAGCCACGACCAGCCAATGGTAACTTGTCGTCCCAGAACACCACATTTCCTTCTTTTGTTTACCTGTGTAATACAGTGTGAACTTATCTCTTCCTTCCACTGGAGTAGACACATACCCATATACTGGTAGTCACCACATCATGCAAACCGTAACATCTTTCTTACAAATTAGCCTTAAAACCTTATATAAAAGTCTAATTTTTAATCTCTAGAAACAATTTTATAAGTATTTTCTGATAATTAGCAATATAAGAGAAAGAAGACTAACACATTTTGAGAACCTATGTGCATTCCCATTTTATTCTTGCAGTAAAATATGTCCCAGCGGACATTATTTGGAGGCTATTTCCAAAGAACAATCTGAGATCAGTGACCTTTATTTAGTGTCATATTCTGAATTGGCATAATGAAGGACTTTTAGTTTGTCTTCTGTAATCCAGAGCCTCTTTCAGGCTCTCAGACCCATGTGTTAATTAGAGCTCCAAATGTGAAGTAAAAATATCGTAGCATAATTCCACAAACACCAGACTTGAGGACAGTGTTTCTGCAGTGTGGTCCATGGCACCACTTCCACATCAGATGCTTGCTAATGATACAGATCCTGGGCTCCATTCCCAAATCAAGGTCAGGTGATGCTGATACATTCTGAAGTCTGAGAACTTCTCAGAGGAAAAAAGGATTAAAGTTCTCAGAACTTCTGACCCCCTGACATCAACAACATTCCTGGAACCAGAAGAAATCTCTGCAAAACTTGAACCAGAAATTATAACAATGCCACTAGCCAATTCTCATACCCAACCTGCCACAAATCTTGCAAACATCACCCCGCTCCAACACACACACACACACACACACACACACACACACACACTCATTTACTTTTAAGTAGTTTTGCAACTCTCTATGTGTACTGTTTTGTAGTAAACAAGGTAGAAATGATCAATTTATTAAGGTATTTTCATTTTTCTGCACAAAAATACAGGAAAACAACAGAAATGAATAGTATAATCAAATCTATGTAATTGAACATTTCTTTCAGCAAGATTCATGAGCATTATATATGATCGTTAAGTTAAGAGGTCTTGATATTAATGGCATTGTAGGCTGCATAATATTTGTGTCTTACTCCTGGATGAGCATTCTCTGAGGGTAGAAAGTTCCTGGCTGAAGGGTGTTGGCATTGGTTAGCTTCATGCTTCAGTGACGATGATTCCACTTGCTGTTTCATTGCCTGGAGTCATCACTGCTCTGCTGCTTCAGATGGCAAATACTCTCACCTTAAAAAAAAAAAAAATAATAATTGGTTCTGTGTATCTGCTTTCATAGCATTTAATTTCAGGTAGTAGGCTGAAATCAGGGCACAGGTGCATAAATGCTAGCTCTGTGTTTAAAAAACAAACACAAAAACAAAACAAAACAAAACCCAGAAGTTCCAATCCAGTTTCAAATGCACAGATCTGATTTCACTCTCAGAACTTGACTTTCTCTGCTGCTTAGGAACATGATATAAACCCTTGGAGGTTTGACTCTTCTGTCAACAGCTTGAAAGTCACACATGCATTCCTGTCTTTAGTGAATACATTTAATTAGCATGATGTAATAAATTTTAGCAGAAAGTGCTTTATTCCAAACAGTTTATTTTTCCAAGCACGTTGGCCAGAACTCTTTGCTGAAACAAAAGAACCAGCCACCTGCACCTCAAAGTACAAATTAAATACAAAGAGCCAGTGTTCAGGAGGCCACCTCCTACCTTGCCCTTAGAGCCAGAGGGCAGCATTTGGC